CCAAGCCACAGAAATGATTGTCTCGTGTTATACGAAGAGATGAAATGAACAATAGCGTACTTTTTATTGCACTAGCCCCGCAATTCAATGAGTTTCTAAATGGAAATGATGAGATAAAAAACAATTCATATATAAGAATGTTATTCCTTTCATAATCTCTTTATTCGTCTCTGCGAAGTGTGGAGAAATGTTTCAGTCTCACAGGCATCGTTCAACGGTTTCGTTAAGTTTGCCCTAAATGCGGACGCATTCTGGTACTTCCGGTTTTCTTCATTCCAAAGAATTGTCGGGCGCGCATGGTAAAAAGGGGTTTCAGCAGTTTCTATAGCGCCGTCCTTATCTCGAGACGCCCGTGTACCGTTCGTTATTGTTCACCCGCTCTACTTCTCTTCATCTCGGTCCGAAATATACGCCCACCGTTCCATCTCATCGGTGGATCAAGCTTTTCTAAATCACTTTCTTCTCGTTTCATTGTTTCGACAATACTATAAAACAATACCGTCGGATGTTATAATGTAAAATGAAGTTGAAACTGTATTCACTCGACGATCGAACGATTATTTGAAGAATTGACAATTGAAGAAGATCGATGGAAGATTTCCAAATCCAAATTCGTGATTCGTAGCTAAAGGAGGGTGAAAGAAAAACGAGGGTAGTTGAAGAAAGATGGAAAACCGGTGGCAAAGACAAAAGTCGATTGGTTTTCGAAGCTGGATTCCAATACCGCGAATGGACTTTTAAGCAGGCGTGCGTCAGTCCTCCCCTATATCCCACTGTTACCTTGCTCTCTTATTAACTATACTCTCTTTTTCTTAAACCTTTTTCATTCTCCCTATCTCGAGATTAGGTTCTTTGATCCGACTTGCTTCTGACCTCGCGAGTAATGTTTCACCAGAGGCGTAAGGAAAAACGTTAATTACAGCCTAATTACTGCGTCCTAAATTGTCGAGGGTCAGTTAAAAGTTCGTTCGAAAAACAAAATAATGTCTGTACGCAGAAGATAAAACGGCACGGAATACCTAGTCGTATCTTGAATAAAAAAATACGAAATGGCAGCCGAGTTGATTGAATTTTGATGAAACTGGTGAAAGGACAAGATCCCAACGGAAAAGTGATGATATATATTCATAAGAATTTCTGATGCACATTTTATCACGTACCATTCATTTTTCACCTTTCTATACCGTACTTCGATCGTCTCATTTAACCAGCACCCGATTTTAGCGAACGAGCGTGGCCTAATTCCGTTTATCCGAAGTAACCAAGGAGCTATAAGTGCAAATTAAGTTCGCTTCAGCCATTTCACCCAATGCCCAAGAGGATTCTCTGGTTTTCGAGGAATCGAATATTTTTGGCCTTACCTTTCTTATTACACATGATGATTCCACACTTATTTATACTCTTCAATATCAGATGTATATGAAATATCGTTCTCTTCAAACGCGGCTTTTCATGAAATAATTTACTAGTTGATTTTACTCATTCTTAAATGATTAAATAATTTCGTTAATCTATGTGTATTAAAGATTGTGACTTTAATGTATCTACTCTGAACTAATAATTATCTTGCGACTTGTTCAGCTAACGGTGGCTTTGGCTAAAGCTCGATCGGCTGCGAGATAACATTCGCGAAATTGGTTCGATTTACGAGAACTTCTCCAAGTAGTATTTACTTATAACGGTAGGATTGGCACGACGCGATGCAAGTTCGATAGTTCGTGCGGCTGTTTTAAGCGCTTCATTTCAAGCCGGCAGTTATGACAGTTTCAGTACTTGTTTCAGGCTAAGCATTAATTTCGCCACGTACCTACTCAATTAGGATAAACCTGCCTCCGAGCAATCGAATAAATTGATTACGCTAGTATCAATCAATTCCCATCGTTATTTGTACAATTCATTAATGATTTGAACTGTTAACTTTTTCTCCATTCTGTTGAACTTAACTTCTGTTAAACTGCAAATAATTCTCGTCATGATAACATTCATTATTATATTACTTTAATATTCAGTTT